TTATCCAAGATTTTTTGAAACCTTTTTTGCAGTTTCCAACATTGTCTGTGTCTTATTGTATTTATTTTTTTTAAGGCCTGCTTTATAGGAAGCTCTATGGGTATTTCTTTTCATATTGGAATAAATGATCGGTTTCCAATATTATTGTAATTAATTTTGATCACATAAGGGCAAATATATCTTTATTATTATATTTTTCAATATACATGATAATGATTTGTATAACTATACATAATCAATATCTTTAAAAATAAGTCTACTTTTTATTATGATATAGCTTGAATTTAATAAAACTAAAAATATATTACAAAGTGCGGGACTTGGCCCGTAATACCCGTGTTATTTTTATTCTAACAACTACGATGTATTTGGTGGCTTTTTCCTTCACCTTGTAAACTCTCTGTCAGTTTCTGTACCACTTCCAATAATCAGAAAATGTGTCCGAGAACCCTTTTAACTCTACTCTCCATATCCCCATCTTTATATGCACAATTATTGGTTCTGATAGTTTGAATTTCGGTCCTTCTTCATTATCATAAAAACATTCCAAAAAATACCATGTGATTGCATCTGTAACAATCCAAACATCTTATCCCAAACACATTCTCTCCTTTCATCTCGCTAGCCTTACGCTTGCGGTTTGATAAAGCCGATTCAATTTGAACAGCATTTTGAGCAACATCCTTATCAAAATCTTCGTGTTTGACATCTGTTACACCAATTTTTAAAGTTTGAAGTAATTCTATTGCAAAATCAACTGGTCCACGCCCGTTAGGTCCTGTGATATTGAATTGTGGCTTGACTTTAAATTTTTCTTTGTATAGTCTTGCACAAGTAACAAGATATGAATGCACATATAATAATCTTGACTCTTCATTTAAATTAACTGGAGTGATCCCAAGTTTAAAATTTAGAATGTTCATAAGTGTTTTAAATATTTCCTGTGAAGATTCGTCTTTCAGATCTTTGTACCCACACGTAAAATGTGGGAATATATCTAATGATGCATTTCCATTTTCATCAATAAGTCCATAGAGCCAGCACACATCTGGGAGTTCCCAATCAGAGAAGCGCTTTGAGGGAGTTCCCATGATTATAATGAATTTGAAGTTTTGTTTTGAAATGAATTGCCGAAGCATTTCATGAAATGCTTGATCATTTCGGGATGAGTATTTTTCATTGCTTCCACTATAATACACGAAGTCAAGTACCGCACAACTATTCTCAAGTGCTGGTGCCTTTCCAATGTCATATATAACTTTCTTTAGATCTTCAAGGGTCGCATGATCAACATCTACGGTCCACTTGAACCCTTTCGTCCGTTTCAGACTAACAATGACGTCAAACTCTGCATAGTTATGATGGGTTAATAAAAAGCTCACTGGAAATTCAACAATGTCTCTAGCAATTTATACGTACCATGTGTGATTTGTTGAATTGTTCCTTCAACGAGGTGATTTCATTGAGCAATTCTTGTTCACGATTTGGTGTGATAGTTGACGCTGGTTTCTCAACTATGACATAAATATGCAAATGAGAAATCAAAGCCAGTCAAGGTAAAATGGATAAAAACTAAACAATGTAATTTCACTCACTAGGCGGACTCTCAACAATTATATGTATAAATTTTTTAGCGGGTTGTCCACTAAAATGATCTTGCACGTCATTCGGTGCCAATAGCTTTTCCCCCTCTAATTTTTGTTCGATCACGGCAGGTTCTTTTCGACAAGTACTGTTAACTTATCGTCAGATTCGAGGAGGGAGACATTAACCTTCCACAATTTAAGTTGATTAGGAAGGTCAAAATTAAGCTTTTGTTTGTCCTTTATAAGTTCTTTAAGGTCACTAACAGTTTCTGTCTTGTTTATTTTAACCCTAAAACAATTCTCATACGGGTTATCTTTCTCGACTAAGCAATTTAATGTAATAGTATCCATATTGTGAGGGATATCAGAAATACTGATTCCCGATTTATATCAAACATGTGTTAAAAGGAAGTTCAGGGTATCACGTGACTTTTGATTCTAATCATATTTTATGTGCGAAAAAATTATTTTATACTCATTATAGAGCATCTGACCAACTTTATGTGCTAATTTTTTTGGTATCATATGAAATAATTTTTATGTAACACAAAACTGATCTTAATTTTGGCCGAATTATAAATTTATTTAACGAAATATTGCCAATTTTGCATATTTGCATTTTGCTTGTGCACCATGTGCTACACCAACTAAAATCAACTCCTTAGTTTTCAATACTTTTCTTTTTTCAGTTGGATATACTGACAAAGTATTCCATTTTTTTGTTTTACTTTTGCTATTTTTGCACCTCTAAATATATTGATTACATCATCTGGACATATTTGTTCGTCTCTTTCTTGTGTAAGATAATATACTACTTCGAATAATTTTATGACTTCTTTTTTTCCATCAACTAATTTTGATTTTTTAGCAATTCTATTAATACAATTATCACTTGAGTGGCTTGTTTTGAACAAATTGAAGTCATTACAATTACTTACAGGAATATGACCTTAGATATTAGTTGTTTCTGCTCCAGTCTAAAGAAAAATTTATGCACGCTTGAATATATTTATATGAATTTGTGTTAAGAAAGGATTAGATATTTTTTGAACTAATCAATAAAATTAAAATAAATATGTGAAAAAATTGTTAACAAAAAGTGAAAGCTTAAAAATGAAAAATTAAAACTATGCTTTAATGTTGTCAAGTAAGTTTTACACTTTTTTGAATTCGGTTCGCCAAAACATCAGTATTTATATCATTTCATTCATAATATGTATCCACTCCAAATAAATTTTCATTTTGTAATAATTTATCGCAACTTGGAAATAGTCTTCTCAAAAAAACTTTATTTTCGAATTTATATCCACTACATAAATTAGATGGCCCACACCATTATCTGATATTAAAAAAAAATTGAAATTGAATTGACATTTTCGTGAATTGTTATTAATTTTTAAACTTTTTTTTTTTTTGTTTTTTAAGCCTTTTTTTTTTGTTTTTTATTACAGTTATTCGAAAGACTTATATATTTTTTATATTTATTTTTTTTAAAAATATCAATCAAATAATAATAATAAAGTCAGAACAAATTATCGGAATTTATGAAAAAAACAAACAGATATTCTTTAATAATAAATGAATTCCCATACAAAAAATATATTTAAGAAAATTAGATCTTATGATAAAATTTAAAAAAACAATGAAATAATATTGATATTTGTATTTTTTGTAAAAATAATATCTTTATCTATACTAATGTTTTCTTTAAATTTTGGGAAGCGAATCAAATCCAAGGTTGAAATATTAGAGAGTGATCATTTTTCATTTGACTTAGGATTTTTTATTCCTCACCAGTAGGTTTTAATAATTCTTTAGAACAAAAATCATAAGAATTGGACCTTAAAATAGTTGATTCATTAGATTCTAATGATAAATTAGGATCTATAAATTTAAAAATTTAAAAATTTAAATAATTTGTAATTGGTCATTTATTAAAATAAATTTATTAAAATTTACCTGACGATTTTCCAGCTTTTATTTCTTCCAATAAATCATTCAATCCATGAAGAGTATGAATATATCGGCTAATATAACATGATTGTGGATGTAACGTACTCGAATGTGAAAACAATTCAAATATTTCTTGCTTTTGAAATTTTGATGTATTTTTTTGATTTTCATCAGCCATTTCAAGTTGCTGTGTGACATCATTATTCACTAAGTTACCATAAAGTCCCGATACGTCAAAAAATAAATCATATAATTCAATGGCAGTTGGACGTTCAGAATGATCATCACTCCAGCATCGATACATCACTTTTAAATACCATTCTGGAATCCAATTTAACATAAAATCTGGGACCTTTGGTCTTAAGCCATTACATATATCAATCATCAAGTAAGTATCATGTGCTTGGTCAGCAAATGGTCGTTGTGCAGTAACTAATCCATACATAATTCCACCAAAACTATAAATGTCACCCTCCCTTGTAAATTCATTTCCTCTCAATACTTCAGGTGGAATATATGGAATTGATCCATAAATTTTGCCATTTTTGTTAGAGTTCAAATTTAAATCATTCTCTACTTTACATAACCCTAAATCTATTCCTAAAACTACGTGAGGAAAGTAAAGATCGAAATTATGGTCTATCAAAATATTCCCATTATGAAGGTTACAATGAACTAAATTTTTTTCATGTAAGCGACTAAGACAATTTGCTATTGAAAATAATATGCACAATTTTGTTCCCCACCTTAAATCCCAAAATTCTTTAGTCAAAAAATCATGTAAGTCACCATTATATAAATTCATAACAACAATGTAGTTTTGTGTAGAAGGATTTTTTGAAATTCCATAACACCTAGCAATAGATCCATATTCACGTCTATTCGCGGTCTTCATCTTAATATGAAAATATTAAAAGATAAATTAATAAATTACGAAATATTAAATAATAATTTATATTCTAAATATAAAGAACATACCACATTAAGAAATTCTACCATATCAAATCTAGAATCATTTATTTCTTTCAAAGCAATTTGAAAGTCTATTGAATGATATTTCCAATCCCGTTTGATAAAATTCCAATCATCTTTTATGCCATTTTTTAATATGGCAGAATACACAGATCCATGGCCACCATCTGATATGTGTTCAATATTATAAAAATTATCATAAGGTATCCAATGTAACTTATCGTAACGACTGTTTGTTTGAGATTCTTGGATAATCTTATCAATGTTAGCATTCCCACTAGACCAAACTTTAAATTCTTGGATAAAATGTTCTTTAGTACACAACGAACATCTTCCATCTGAATGAATAAAATTATGGTAATCAAAATAAGATAAATTTTCAGAAGAATGACCTGCCGGGCAATATTTTATTTGAGACATTGGTAAATAGAGAAATAAAAGTTATTGAAGATTTTTTTAATCGGTAGCAACTCGAATGATCGATATAGGATTAAAAATCAAATTCATCACATGATATCCAAGTAATAAATTTTTAAGTGCTTGTGATTTTTTGGTACCACAGACAAAAAATTTATTTTTAGTGAAGAAAATCACTTTGTCACATGAACAATTTTCTCAGTTTTTTTAGAGTCGCACATTCCTTTAAAAATATAATTTTTTCCTATATTAACACAAAATAATCTTTTTTTCTCAAAAATCTCAAATATTATTAAGCAAAAAATAAATAAAAAATATGTGCTTAATATGATATAACTAAAAGACATATTTTTTTCGTTAAATATAGTAGTAAAAAATTCTAGCAAAGTAATTTTATGAGCATATAGTAACATTGATATTTATTTGAAGCATTAATATACTGATAAGTATTCTGAGTCTAAATAATATATGCACCTCGAAATATATATTAAAAAATAAATTTATTAATGAATTCTCTTTTAATAATGAATGAACTTCCTTTACAAAAATATAATTTAGAAATAAGCTCTGATGACAAATATAGATTCAGAATGATGGATTTTCGCATTTGGTAAAAACCAGGTTTTTTTAGAATTAATTTTACAAATGAAAGAAAATTATATTTTCAATTCTTGAAAAATTTCTTTGATTCTTTCGATTTATTAGGCAATAAAAGTTAAATTTAAAGAAAACATTTTGTTTTATCATCAAGAATAATTTGTTTCTGCCAATAAATCTTTAATTTCTTGAAGAGCAACTAATAATTCATCACGTATTTTATAAAACCTTTAAAACATATTTGATTAGAATTATTAAGTGATGGAATTAATGAACTAATGATAGAATTTTTGAGATCTAGATAAAGCAGTTTCGGATTGTAAAACATTTGTGCTATTAGAATTGGTTGCCGAGCTTTTGATACTCTTTTCAATTAATGTTGCTTTGATAAATTCAATTCCTTTCGCTTGGCAATTTCAATAGACCATTAAATCTTTTCACTTAAATATGTTCTACATTTGTACTTTGAAATAAACCATCAATTCTGATCCGAACTTTAATCGAAATGATTTGATAGCAATCATTATTTGAATATCCAATTGTTTTAAAAAAATGATGTAAATAATTGTACACAAAAAAAACTTAATAAATAAACTTATTATATTTGAAAAAGTATAAAAATAAAATAATTGAAATTACCTTTGTCCATTTTCATACTGTAATTTCCGAATGCTGTTGTGTAGGAATTGGAGGAATTAGTATTTCAAGTATTGCATCCATGTTAATTTATAAGCCCAGATCGGGTTTTGTTCAATTTCTATTAATCTATATCTATAAATAGGGTGTTGTCATGCAAACTAAATACTCCATTTTTAATAAAGGTAAGAAGATAACTGCTTTTCCTGATGCTAATGCATATTTCACTTGTTTATTTTTTTTTTATGTTCGCAATTAGATAGTCTCGAATGATTATATTTCTCAATAAGAATAGACATAGAAGCTAACTGGTTAGAAAAAATTAAATCTTATGAATTTTTATTTTTTTTTTTGCACACATACTTCTAACAACGTGGAAGGTTGTGGATTCTTTTACTACACATATTGTCAGATTTTTGAAAGAAAACTATAATAATTATTCAAAAAATGTGTATCCTTTAAGAATTTTTAAAATGCTTTTGCTACTCAATTAAAATTCTAGACTATAATTTATAATTAATTCGATATTTTTTTATTTACAAAACTATATTTTAAATTTAAAAGAATTCAAATTATATACGCATATATATTGATTATAACGGAAACAAATTTCTTGAATGTCTTTATAGTTTGTCATCAAAAATATCTATTGTACAAACAATATAGTAATCACTTTTCTTTTTAACTTCAAGCAAATAATAAATATAAAGAATATCAATCAATCTATAATACATGGTACATATTTAGTGAAGATTATCTAATTAGAATTTCATAAATCGATATTTTTAATGAACCGCTAGATTTATCAAGATTATTATATGAAAACTGCTACGAGAAATAAGTTTGTTATAAAAGAAATTTCACCTTTCTTAAAGGTGAAAGCATGAATTTTTGTGTCAACCGATAAATTAATTATTATAAATAAAGTATATACCTTATTCACCCATTTTTTATTTTTTTCTTCACGCGCTAAATAAAAAAAATGCAGAATTGATCGTATTTTATCTTTTTGTCTTCTTGTGCCAAAAATCGTGAGCACTTCTTTGGAAGGCACCTCACATTGGGACACTTAATTACAAATTAAAATAAAATAAAATAAGTGCTCCACGCAGTATACACGGTAATGTCGCTATACAATAATTAATATCAGATATATGTGATCAAATAATAAAAGAAATTGTTCTTCGTTAATAGTTAATTCGTTTCGCGATAAATGGAAAGATATCTACATATAAGAACCATAATATCGTTCCGGAACAAGAATAAGAATATCACAAGAACTATCTTATGAAAGACACTCTCCATTAACATCATAAAAAGCAATGGTTCTGATTTAAATATATTCTTAGTTTCAAATGACAACGTCAACAAAATAAAGAGACATGTCTTTTTTCAACTATCAAAAAATTAATTTTTATATAATTGTGAAAAGTCGCTCCAAAATTCATTATATAAATCTTTCCGTTTCTAGCGAACATGAATTAAGCATAATTCAGTAGTAAAATATTTTATTTAGATGCCAACAATAACATATATTTGAAGTCTTGATAATATTGCACGCAAAATAGTTTTTAAGATAAATTAGCATCCTTAAATATATATTTTTTTACGGCTCATTAATTATTTAAGAAAATTAACTCCTACGATGAAATCCAATTTTGTTTTATTTTTTTTAACTTTCTCAATAACATATATTCTTTAAATTCTTTGGGAATCATAACCAAATCCAAGGCTTGAATATTAGAGAATAACATTTTTCTATTTGTTTTGAGTTTCTATTTCTTCATTGATACTATGGGTATTAACACTTGAAGTAGTTTATTCATTGGACTTTAATAATAAATTAGGATCTATAAATTTAAAAATTAAAATGTGTAATTGATCATTTGCTAAAATAAAACTCATGTAGTTAAAATTTTCTAAGAATATACCTGAAATTTTTCCAGATTTTATTTCTTCCAATAAATCATGCAATCCATGAAGTGTATTAATATATCGACTAATATAACATGATTGAGGATGTAACATACTTGAACATAAAAACAATTCAAATAATTCTTGCTTTTGAGATTTTGATGTATTTTTTTGATTTTCATCAGCAATTTTAAGTTGTCGCGTAACGTTATCATCCACTATATTATCATTGTGCTTTCCAAATAATTCCCAAAATAAATCAGTTAATTCAATAGCAGTTGGACGTTCAGAAGGATTATCATTCCAACATCGATACATCAAGTCTAAATACCATTCTGGAATCCAATTTAACATAAAATCAGGAACCTTTGGTCTTAAGCCATTACATATATCAATCATCAAATAAGTATCATGAGCTTGATCAGAAAATGGTCGTTGTGCGCTAACTATTTCATACATAATTCCACCAAAACTATAAATATCGCCTTCCCTTGTAAATTTATTTCCTGTTAATACCTCAGGTGGAATATATGGAATTAATCCAGAAATTTTGTTATTTTTGTTATTAGCATTCGAAACCAAATCATTTTCTAATTTACATGAATCCATATCTATTCTTAAGTCAGAATTGGTAAGATTAAGATTATTGTTTATCAAAATATTTCCACTATGAAGGTCACAATGAACTAAATTCTTTGCATGTAAGATTTCGATAACCTCTGCTATTGATGCTAATATGTAAATTTTTGATCGCCACCCTAAATTCAAGAAATTTTTGGTTAAAAAATTATGTAAGCCATCATCAAGTAAATCCGTAACAATAATATAGTTTTGTGTAGAAGGATTTTTTGAAATTCCAAAATAATTAGTAATAATTGCATAACCCTTAACAGTCATCAGATACTTAATGCGAAATATAATGAGATGCGGGTTAATAAATTACAAAATATTAATAACCTATATTCTAAAAATAAAAAACATACCACTTTAAAAAATTCAGTCATATCATATCTAGAATCTTTTATTTCTTTCAAAGCGACTTTATGACATATTAAATCATATTCCCAATCTTGTTTGATAAAATTCCAATCCCGTTTTATTCCATTTTCTAATCTGGCAGAATACACAGATCCATGACCACCATCTGCTATGCGATTGATATTTTGAAAATTATCATAAGGTATCCATTGTAACTTTTTGAGAATGTTATAAATTTGAGATTCTTGTATAATCTCATCGATATTTGCATTCCCACTAGCCCAATTTTTAAATTCTTGGATAAAATGTTCTTTAGTACACAAAGAACAACCTCCCCATGAAAAAATCAAATTTTGGTAATAAGAATAAGCGAGATCTTCCGAAGAATGGCCTGCTGGACAATACTTTATTTTTTCTATTTTTTCTATTTTTCGGGACATGGGAAAATAAAAGGTATATTCGTTATTGAATATTTTTTTAGTTCGAATCTATAAATAGAAATTCATTGTTTGATGTTAATCATTGCCTTTTCTGATTATATTTATTTGTGGCTGCTATTCATAATTTTGTGTTTAAAATATCAATTACTTCAGAATATCTAATAAGATGGTGCGAACGCAAAAATATAAAATTCTTCGTTATTTCATATCTCGAGATCTTTTCAGGGTAGAAGAATGGTACAAATTTTTACTATTATATTCCCAAATTTATTATAAGCAAATTTTTACTTTTTTTTTAGATGAATTTTTGTGTTAAGGTAATTGCTTATGTTTTTTTTGACACCAAAAAAAAAAAATAGATTATAAAATAAGTACCTTCAAGGTAAGATTTTTCTACTTTTGTTTGTTCTATTTAGCGCATGAAGAAAAATGGATGAAATAAGGTATAAACTTTATTTATTATAAATAGACAGCAGTGGGGTTGTGATCTACTGACTTTAAGGCGTGAAACCTCCTTTGGGTGTTTGGTCAGTCGGTTAAGTCAATCTTTATTCTTTATTGTAATGATGTATTACGTTTTAAATGAATAAACAGAAGATCTCACTTGTCATTTAAAATAAAAAATAAATAAATTGTATTTCGTTAAATAGAGCGATAAAAATTCTAGCAAAGTAATTTTTATAAACATTTATTTGAAGCATTATATAGACAAATTGATAAGCATGCTAAATTCGAGTCTAATAAATGTACGCACTCTCGAAATATTTTTTTTAAAAAATAAATTATCTTTATTAATAAATGAACAAACTATATTTTAGCAAATTGTTTCTAAAATAAAATAAAATAAAAAAAAAATGGGATAATATTAGTACTTACTTAGTAAATATTATTTTTTAGTATTACTTTATTTTAAATATTAAATATACTTAAATTTGTTTCAATATAAGGAGCGCCCAAGCAAAAAAGAGTTTCTGGTTAATTATTCGATTTTGAGAAAAATCGGATTTAAATTACGCAGTAACGAAAATTTACACTTTTTATAATGAGCGAGCGATAAATTTTTTATCTAAAATAATTTTAATACTTCTAATATAAAACATGTAAACTTAAATAACTTTGATGCACTTTCATAATCGAAATAAAAATTAATATTTAAAAAAATGCAACGGCTCTTTACAAAAAATGGTTAAAAAATATACTTGAAAAATAAGTTGAATATTTTATTTGATAAATTTTTTTAAGAAAGGAAATCATTTATGTAATACCGCTTTTTGTATTTCAAAACAATCCGTAATTATTATTGTCTTGTACTAATGCATGCATGCAAAACGGAATTTATTTAATCCGGTAATGTAATATTTTTTTTAAAAGAAATGAACGGAGGAACGAAGAAATGAAAGAATCAGAAGAGTAGGCATTTTGTTATATTAAATTTTATTTAAATCTATAATTTATTACTAATAATAATTTACATAAACTAATCAATTACAGCTTGTGAGTATTTAGATTCATAATTATTGAAACCAATATTTAATTTAATTCAATCATCATATTACAATTCTCCAATCAATTATTATCTAATCAATATAAATAGTTAGTGAGTATTTAGATTCATAATTATTGAAATCAATGTTTAAATTTAATTCAATATCATATACTAATAAACATAAATTATATTACAGTTCGTGAGTATTTAGATTCATAATTATTGAAGTCAATGTTTCAATTTAATTCAATATCATATAACAATTCTTTAATCAATAATAAACTAATCAATATAAATTATATTACAGTGAGTGAGTATTTTGATTCATAATTATTGAAATCAATGTTCAGTATCACATAACAATTCTCTAATCAATTATAAACTAATCAATACAAATTATATTACAGTTCGTGAGTATTTAGATTCATAATTATTGAAATCAATGTTTTAAATTAATTCAATATTATATAAGTAATTATCAATAATGGGTGTAGTGCCAGCCAATTTCAAAATGAATTTGATAAATGGACAAGCGAAGATAAAGAAATTGATAAATTTATCCAACAAATGCAACTAAAGGCAAATAGATATCGACAAATTATTGAGTGGATTCCATATGATAGACTTGAGAATGTCACATACCTTGATAAAGGAGGGTTTGGCACAGTATACAAAGCAAAATGGCTTGATGGACCTATTAATGGTTGGAATAATATTGTAAAAAATTGGAGTAGATTTGGAAAAAAAGATGTTTGCTTAAAATGCCATGATAATTCCACAAATCAAATTGATTTTTTGCAAGAGGTAAATATTTTAATTTTCATTATTATTTATATATAT